TAAAAAAAAAAAAAATAATTGTATAATAAATATTAATTTTTACTTTTTTTTTTCTTTATTCAAAGGTGCGATAGATTTTTCGAAAGAATTACATGTTTTCTTGAATAAGGATCACGAAACAAGATAAATCCTTGATTTCTTCTTTGAAAACTGGTTAAATGAAATTGCTTGTTGAAGTAATAAAAGCATTAATCAGTTTTCAGGAAAGAAGTCAAGGATTGATCTTGTTTCTTAATCTTTATTAAAAAGAAATACAATTATTTTGAAAAATCTGTCGCATCTCAGAATAAAGAAAATAAAAGAAAAATTTAATTCGCTTTTGAAAATCGTCACACACGTTGAAATTCACCCGAAAAACGAAATCTTGAATCAAAGCTACTACAGTTAACCCCTTAACCTATGATTTCTTTTCTGACTGTGCATCTAAGCGTCAGCCATTTTCTGTTCTAGTACTGTATCAGGTAAGAGAAACTAATCTGTCACAGATTAATCACATTTAGCAATCCTCAGTCTTACAAATTCGAACGAAAATTAGAATTACAATGAATTTTTCTTACTGATACAACTATTCTTCTCACGTCTTCGCCAGAATCTCTTCCCCGTGTCTGACAGGTTGTCATATGTTAAGGGGTCAATCAGCGCAAATCGAGTGATCCACGTGTTGTTACAGTGGTCGGTCGGTTTCGAGCCTTGATCTTGACACTCGAGCCGCAGGTTTGCGGTAATCGACGTAACAAGAGCGGAACAAGCGCGTGCGTCCGACAAAATGGCCAGTGGCCAACGGAAAAGGAAAAGAAACGCGAAAGCAAGAGGGTGAGGAATGAAATTGAGAGGCCCACTTTCGTCGAGAGTTTCACGATCCCTGTTTCGGCGTGTTGTGAAAGAAGAAGAAGAAGAAGAAGGGAAAAAAAGAGCGGCCACCGTTGACCCCATTCAACGGGGACTTGTTTACGCTCGTTCGTCAGTTCACACGCGGACACTTTCATTTTTGAGAGACACGCTCGTAAAACAGCTCGAAGGACATATTATTCATAACTACTTAGCACATTCGGCACGGTGTACGTCTTGTACAGAGGTTCGTTTTTATTGCCGGTCAATGCTGAAAGAGCAACGAGAGAAATAAGTAAAAGTTGGGCGTATATCGAGACAAATGTCTCTTCGGTGATATCGAAGTAGAGAATTCTGAGGATTGACATTTTTCAACATTTTTTGAAATTTGAAGTCAAAGTCGCGTAAAATGTGAGACAGTTAGGTATCTCTTTCTTGGGATTGAAGTAGAAAATTTTGAAGATTAGTATTTTTTGAAAGAAATAAAAACAGAGAATGTGAAGAATTGGAAATTGAGAAAAAAAGGAGAAGAAAATCTTTTCATTTGTGTAATAGAGAAGAAATTCCGGTTTTTTTGAGCATCATTTTGTAACAAGATCTCAGTTTTGAATGAGTTATTTATGTACGTATACGTGAAGAATCTTTTCATTGAGACGAAAGATTGTTTTTACTCTTTGAAGTGGAAGGTTTACCTGAACGCTTGCATGGTCGGTAGCGAAGATGGAAAGAGGAATAAGGCGTGAAGGTCGGTTGGAATATAGATTGAAATCAGCTTGTAATTATTAGTATAATGCTCGTGTACGAGGTGCTATTTCAGTTAGAATAACGAGAGATTGTATCGGGTGAATATCTGGCGAGCTACTGTGTTACTGGGTAATTACACAATCGCCACAGTTGCCTAGATGACTAACACGCTATGATTAGGTGATTTGCATTTCTGCATGGATCATGTGCGCTCTTTCTTCCGACAGATCGTATCGAATTAATCTTCCTTGTAATTCCGCAAATAGAGTAACCTGTACCATTTCAATTTATCCTATATTTACACTATCTATAATTAGGAATTATTTTACAGCTACTTCTGTGTTGTCTCTTCTTCGTCTCCACTCTTGGGGATCCCATAAGAGTAAAGAAAGAGTAAGCATGCAATAAAATCAACAAATGTTATACAGCAATTATCAAGCAAAAATTTTGTTTAGATTTCACTTAATTTAAAAAAAAATCCTACAAATTTCAGAGCTCCATTGAGCCCACCCCCAAGTCAATATGCACCACCAGCAGCCTCTTACGGAGTTCCGAACCTAGGAAGCTCTTACAGTGCACCGTCTGACTCCTACGGTGCTCCATTACCATCTTCTTCCCATGGTGCACCTTCCTCTTCCTATGGCGCGCCATCTTCCTCCTACGGCGCTCCATCAGCGCCTTCCTCATCCTATGGTGCCCCGTCAGGTCCATCCTCTTCCTATGGTGCACCGTCGTTCAGTTACGGTGCTCCATCGGGCCACGGTTCCTTCGGAGGTGATCAAGGCTACAGCAGCGGTGGATCCTTCAGTGACCACCATGGCGGCGGTTTTGGTGGAGGTGGTGGAGGAGGAGGAGATCATGGCGGCTACAGTGGAGGCGGTGGCGGAGGATCAGATCATGGTGGCTACAGTGGAGGTGTCGGCGGAGGAGATCATGGCGGCTACAGTGGAGGCGGTGGCGGAGGATCAGATCATGGTGGCTACAGTGGAGGTGGCGGCGGAGGAGATCATGGCGGCTACAGTGGAGGCGGTGGCGGAGGAGACCATGGCGGCTACAGTGGAGGCGGTGGCGGAGGAGACCATGGCGGCTACAGTGGAGGCGGTGGCGGAGGAGACCATGGCGGCTACAGTGGAGGCGGTGGCGGAGGAGACCATGGCGGCTACAGTGGAGGCGGTGGCGGAGGAGACCATGGCGGCTACAGTGGAGGCGGTGGCGGAGGAGACCATGGCGGCTACAGTGGAGGCGGTGGCGGAGGAGACCATGGCGGCTACAGTGGAGGCGGTGGCGGAGGAGACCATGGCGGCTACAGTGGAGGCGGTGGCGGAGGAGACCATGGCGGCTACAGTGGAGGTGGTGGCGGAGGAGATCATGGAGGTTATAGCGGAGGCGGTGGCGGAGGATCCTTCGGAGGCGATCATGGCTCCTTCGGAGGAGACCACCACGGAGGAGGAGGAGGTGGTGGAGGCGGAGGATTGTCCACTTCTTACGGAACTCCGATTCAATCTTACGGTCCTCCGTCTCAATCCTACGGAGCACCGGCGCAACCTCAAGGAAGATACGAGAAGAAACTAACCTGGAAGGCGGAATGGAAACAGGTTTGGAAGACCGAACAGAAATTGGCGTGGAAACAGGAATGGAAGAAGGTTCAGGTACCTGTTTGGAAGGAGGTTCAGGTACCTGCTTGGAAGGAAGTGAAGGTACCGGTATGGAAGAAGGTACAGAAGCCAATATGGAAGGAGATCCAGGTGCCGGTTTGGAAGGAGGTTCAGGTACCAGCTTGGAAGAAGGTTTGGAAGCCTGTTTGGAAGGAGGTGCAGGTTCCGATTTGGAAAGAAGTTCAAGTGCCGGATTGGAAGAAAGTCTGGGTGCCGGAGTGGGTCAAGATTGGAATTCCTGGTGAACAATTCGTCGGTAAGGATCATCACGGCTGGCAGTACACCAGCCACGACTTGTGGAAGAAGAAATTGATCTGGAAGCCGGTGTGGAAGAAGATCTGGAGAAGCGAGAAGAAGCAGGTTTGGGTGAACGAGAAGAAGCTTGAATGGAAGGCCGAGTGGAAACAGATCTGGAAGACGGAGAAGAAGCAGGTTTGGGTACCGGACAAGAAGTTAGTATGGAAAGAGGAGTCTGTTCAAGTGTGGGTGCCGGAGAAGAAGCAAGTTTGGGTCACGCAGAAAAAGCAGGTATGGAAAGACGAATGGAAGAGCAAGTGGGTGCCTGTCTGGAAGGATGTGCAGGTACCCGCGTGGAAGAAGGTATGGAAGCCCGTTTGGGAGAAAGTTTGGGTGCCCGCGGAGCCTCACCACGACGAGCATCACGGTTACAAGTAAAAATTCTCGTCGAGAGACCCGCGTCGTTCGATCTTTTTACCCGTTGTTAAGTTTTCTTCTTTTTTTTTCTTCTGCTTTTCTGTCGTAATCGTAGTCAGAATGACGATCCCAGAGAACGAGCTTAAGACTCCCGGACGTTACCATTGCAGGCAGCGGGAACGCGTGAATTTTTTAAAATTCGTGAGAATGGATCTTTTTTTTTTTTTTCCGATGAAGTCGGAAGTAACGTTGAATTCTCGCGGAGGAGGGAAACAACTGTGTCTCGAAGTAGATCAGAGTCGAAACGAGAAGACGTGTTCTTTTAGTTCTTTTCAATAATTAATATCAACTTTTTTTCTTCTTCTTTTCGTAATACGCGAGAACTGCAGCGGTCGAAGTATTATTAAATCGTTAGATTAAGAAACGTCGGTCGTTTGTTCGTTATTTATGAATGAACGACGACTCACGCGTGAAATGTAATTATTTTTCTACTTGTAAATACCGTTGTTCACAGAGGTATATACATATCGATGTTCTTTTGTACGATGTTTGTGTGTATGTTACCGTGAAATAAAGTACACTCTTTTTGTATCTGCGAATTTTCATTAATTTCTAGGTGAAACGTGTTGGAAAGTACGACTTAGGTGGACGTTCACGAGGCAAACCGTTGTAGAGAATAGCGATACAGAGAGTTTCCAGATCGCGTGAAACAGATATATGTATATTTGATTTGCAGCTTTGATGGTTCCTCGTGTCAAACAAACCGTTCTCACGATGGGAAAATATTTGTTTACGGTAAACAGGCAGCTCTGACAATGAAAAATAACACGAGATATATTTCCCGGAGGAGATAGACGACGAAAGCGAATTAAATCCGACTGGTTAGCTAGTAACACCGGGGAATGTTTATCTTGTAACAACTGCAAACGCTAATACTCGCGTACAGTTTACCACATCCGATTTTATTTATCTTGGTTAAACAAGATACGAGACCTAACTTCTGTTTATTCAGCAAATTGGAAGAAACTTTTCCTTCCCGCTTTATCTCTACAAAATTAATCGATTTCAACTGATAAACATGGTAAAAGAAATCGACAATTTTTCCAGAAAAATTACCAAATTCTACAACATTGAAACTCTGTTCAAGAAAGAAGAACTACAATTATCGTTTCTCCATGTCAAAACAATGCTCGACGAGTAAGAAATTGCATACTTTCGATGAACTTTCAATGAACGCGTGTTCCTCGAGATTTGCTTCTCAAGCGAGTAAAAGTGCAAGGCTCTTCCTCTCGATTCCCATCGAGAGTGGCATGAACGAGGTAGACACCATGTCGTCCCGGAGAATAGGCATTAATTCACGCCAGATGAAAGCGCGCCGGGTTTCTAACGAGCAAGAGTACACGGGCGCGAGAAAGACGAGAGATACTTTCTAGGGATAAGATGAGATTCAAGGGAACGAGCACATCTCAGGGTCTTCAGGGTCGCGATTCACGCTCACGACCTTTACTTTCTCTTTCTGTTCCCGTACACGAACCCGATAACGACCGTGTGGGATGAGAAACCTTCGCGTGCAAGACGAGGTAGCAGGAAGACGCGGAGAAGACACCGGAAGTGGCACGGCCAGTCAATTATACGTCGAACTTGGAGTTTGTGGAATGAAACGTACAGGGTGGTTCAGTGAAATTATAATTGTGCATGTATTTTATTTTCATTTTTTCTTTGCAACTGATTGAAACGAGAACGACATTGTTTTTGGAGCGAAGAAAGGTGGAGACTACATTTATTAATGTGATATCATAGGTTCTTTGTATTACTATAAAACACACTAACTCGATACGTATTGTTCTTTAATTTTTCAGAAATGGAGCTTAAAATTTTTATTTTACATGGTTTTACTGTAGGTCTAAAAGAAATAGGAGAGAGTCGTGCAGTAGGGCAATACCGGCTACCTAATGTTGGTAAAAATGAAATTTCCAGAAAAGTAATTTGTAGTACAAAGGGGACAAATGGTTTTCCTTAAATTTTCTCATAAAGATAAATAATTCGTAGAAATAAAAACGTTGTAATTTGCAGCGAACGAAAAATTGTCGTGCAGTACCGGCCAGCTACCTAGTTGGTAGATTTGAAGGTCTAAGTGATAAATAATGTTGGTAAAAATCATTTAAAAATAGAATAGAACTTTTATTTAGGCGCGTCTACAAATATCACAGGTAAAGCGATCGATATTTTCTTGATCCGTACACTCCACGTGAGCCCAACCATTGCAGCTATGAAAAATAACTTTCGGAACACCGGCGTAAACGTTAAACGTCTTAGAACTCTGGTAATACTGAAGAAAAAAGAACGTCGCCGGAATACGTTTCTCAGGGCTATAGTATTCATTTGTTTTTCCACCAATAGTGCAGTCAACTTTGGCCGGTACTGCACGACTCTCCCCTAAATTAATTTAGTATAAAAATCCTTTATGAAAAACTGGAATTTTGTAATAGCAATTTCTCAGTCTGTGTTACCAATTTTAAAAATTTCCTTTCACCAATTTTATTTTTTCACGACTTTCTTCAATTTTCGTCTTTTCGCCATAAAGTAGAACCGAGAATTTATCGCCTCAGCGTGTTTCACCAGTATACCCGTGATAAGTTCTGTTATCAATTCCATTTCCCTGAAAGAGTTGCTTCCGTGTAAGTGTTGACAGTTTTTTAAAGCATCCTGTACAAGAGGAAGGAGCGACTTTCGACGCTGAAGAAACGTGTTCGATGGATCATCGTCGCTGTCGCGTGCATACCTTTTGAAGAAGATCGAAGAGGAAGAGGATCGATCGGGAAGAAACGAGGAGTTCCGTGACGCTTGACAAATATCCAAGCTAAACCGACCGACGCCATAAGGAGATCGCGTAACGAGAAGAAAGTCCTCGTGAGAAGAAAACAGAAATAGCGTGTAAGCGACCCTCGTTACGAATATGTTTGTCCTCGATGAATTAATCGGCCTGTCGGTTTAAATCGATTTCGTATGCCGCGTGATACTATACGATCGGACGATTTCTCTTCCTGTACCGGGTGAAAATGCGAAGATTTAAACGGTTCCAATCAAACGATCGATACCCGTGCATAATGATCTTACGTACAGTAGTTAACCAGAGGTATTTAATTCTGTAGTTTTTACCATCTTGGCGTTATTACAGTTAAGTGCGTACTGTTGATTTTCCGGTACGATTATGTGTTATTTAACACTAGAACTACTAGCTCAGTCAAAATGACCCATTAGCGACTTTCCAAAAGTGAATTTTTATGTAAGTGAACTGTGATTGGAAAATTCGATTCATACCTATGCAAATAAAAGCATACACGTAGAATGTAAATTCGGAAAGTTACAAGCGATAATACTTACCAGTATTGAACATTCACGTTTTTTCGAAAGATGCTAATGGGTCATTTTGACCCGGTCGGTAGTTTTAGTGTTAATATATGTTGAACATTCACGTTTTTTCGAAAGATGCTAATGGGTCATTTTGACCCGGTCGGTAGTTCTAGTATTAATATATCCCGGCGTACTTTTAGTATGAATATGCAATTTTTACAATGGCGATTGAAACGATAAAAAGGAGTATATTTATTTTACGAAATTATAAATTACAGGAATGGCTGAATTGATAAATTACAAACATTTAGCGCAGAATTTATCGCACAAAGGGGTATGGTAAAAAAATTTAGAACAAAAGTGACTAAATCATAGGCAAAGTTAGAAAGTTTACGGTGGAATTTATTAAATGATAAAAAGTGGTGGAGAATTTGATGTACATTTTGGCGAACGACAGAAAATGCTATGATATTACTGTGGAATTCGTTAAACGATAAACAGCGTTGCAAAGTTTACTGTGTAATTGATAAAATGAGAGGAAATACTGGAAAATTGACATAATCGTCGCGTAAATAACAGAGCCGGCACAATGGCGTGTCGGTAAAACCGTTTGCGCTCAGAATATCGCGAGTTTTACGCGAGAAGATTTCTCGCATGTATCATTATCGACGAGTCTTTGCAAGATATTGGCAAGTGGAAGTCGGTCATGAAGACGAGTGCAGCCTTCTGTCTTCCTCGTTACACCTCGACCTTAATAACGAGCGTCTCTCCCCTACTTTCTTCGTCGTGATCTCACGGTGACTTTAATTCACGCCGCTTCTAGAGGCTGTCGAAGATAAGAGGAGCCGCTTTCGAACGTCCACCTACAGGTGGAGGCTGGCGCGAGTTACACGCAATTAGCATATAATGATCGCGGGACGAGCTTGAAGAAAAGCTCCGATTAATGTGCCGCCGGAGAGTGAAAGTTCCGGAACCGGCGATGGCTGCTCGTATATAGCCTTGCTACGTGCATCGTAAGCGTTAGAGCTCGCGAGATTTTCCACCTGTGAAGATCGAGCCTTTGAACAGGAATGTGGGAA